CGTGGATCCTAATTTAACTAAATGTGATTTTTACTGACAGGGACTTGCTGTGGTTTAGTGCAAATGAAAATTAAATGTGATTTTCAAGGTGTACAAGGAGGTTGTTTTAAAGCCACCCAGCTGCTCAGTTTCCCTTACAGGAAGTCTACACTAAATCTTCATGATTTCTAGGTCCAGGAGATACTCATAGTATCTCCCTGCCTGTGTGTGGTGTAGAAGGAGCTCACAGGAATCTTCTTAGTCCTGCGCAGAGAGAGAGCTGATGGTGACTGCTTGGGCAGAACATTTTCTCTGACTCTCACCATAGTGCAGACAACAGAGAGAGTAATTGTACCACTCCTGAAAGCCTAAGAATTCATGGATAATGAGGCCATTTCTCTATATTATGGAAAGGAACATGTATGGAAATAGTGGACAAGATTATTACAGATTTATAATACTACCTGTAAGAGCTTTATATGTTTTCCATGTCAGATATCTGCTGATTGTAGTGAATGCACCATGTGGCATAGGAATCTGATAGTGGAGCAGGGTATGAATGTGCAGGGGACATAAGAAAGCTCTTGACTGTCTGTTCCATAACATGTGAACCTACATTTTTCTACCCAGTAAATTTAGCTAAATATATGCATTCAAATGAATGCAGAAATTCTAGTATTTTGACTTTTAAAATTCTACACATACTGATTTTCATGGATGGCTCCTGTTGTAATATCATTCACTAATCTTACTTCTTTGAAATATTTTTTCTTAGATATTAATTAGCTCATATTTGTATCTTCTGAAGAAGTGAATATTTTGTTTCTACACTATGCTCTTCAATCACGTGTTACTTTTTGGTATCCCAAGACTTAGGACATGGCCTGGGAATGTGACAAAATTCCTGTGACAGGGGCCACTGAGCTGTGTTCCTAACACATAACCATATGAGTCATGGGGTAGCTGTCCTGATGTGCAGCCAGTCCTGCCTCCTGCAGGTAACTCACCATGGGACAGGTGCCTGCAGGGCTAGAGTTTCCTCAATGCACCTGCAGGTATTAAAATATCTAAGTGTTCCTTCATAATTGACCTTATACATAGAATAAATATTTATAAATAAATTGAAAATTTTATAATGAAAAATTTAGAAATACTACTATTTTGGAGATAATAGGAATATATAGAAATGAAAGTAAATGTGAGCTGGATTGATAGAAGAACCTGCTCATTACCATTACAAAAGCTTGATGATACATGCTGTTCTCTTTTTAAACACTCAGCCAGTATCAAGACCCTTCTGTGCACCTGATTAGAGTATGAATCTGGACAGAGACTTAACATGTGTGTGCACAAGTTCTCCTGGTCATCTCAGCCCCTGCGCCGTGTCATGAAGATTCAGGAATCCCCATGTGCTGCCTTCAAAACGGATTTGTACACACCTTTTCACTTAACTAGTCATGAACCTCATTAAAACCTGCTAGTGAAAATAAAATCTTATGTAAGTTTTCAGAGTGGGAACTCTGGAGTGTGGGCAATATTGGATTTTGTTTGACAGGACATGTGCAGCCCAAGCCTCCTGTTTCCCCTCCAGGACCCTCTGGCTGGGACAGCAGGGAACTGGCAGGATGGCAGCCAGTGATGTGGCTGTAGGCATCATCTACTTGTCACAGACTGTGGTTGGAGCTCTGGGCAATTCCTCTCTTCTCCTCCATTACCTGGTCCTTTACTTCACTGGGTGCAGGGTAAGACACAATAGACTTGACTCTTCAGCACTTCATTGTGGTCAACTTGTTAACCCTCCTGTCTAGAGGAGTTCCCCCAGACAGTGGCAGCTTTTGGAGTGAAAGGTTTCCTCAGTAATTTTGGATGCAAGCTGCTTTTCTATCGTCAGAGGGTGGGCAAGTGTGTGTCCATTGGCAGCACCTGCCTCCTGAGTGTCTTCCAGGCCATTAAGATTAGTTCTGAGAATTCCAGCTGTTCAGACCTTAAAGTGAAAGCTCCCAAATACATTGGTCTCTCCATATACCTGAGCTGGATTCTATAACTGATTGTAAATTTTATGATTATTTCACAAATGACTGGAAAAAGGAGCAACTATAATATCACAAGCATGAAAGATTTTGAATGCTGTTCTGCTGTTCATCCTGACACAAACTTACAATCACTGTATGCAGCACTGCTAACATTCCCTGATGTCGTGTGTGTGGGGCTCATGCTCTGGGCCAGCAGCTCCATGGTGCTCATCCTGCACAGGCACCAGCACAGAATGCAGCATGTTCATAAGACCAGCTCCCTCAGGTCCTCCCCTGAGTCCAGAGCCACCAAAACAATCCTCCTCCTGGTGAGCACCTTTGTCTCTTTTTACACCCTTTGCTGCATCTTTCAGGTTTGTGTGATTGTTATTTATAATCCCCACTGGCTGCTGGTAAAGATGAGTGCAATAGTCCTTGGGAGTTTCCCAACTCTCAGCCCCTTTGTGCTCATGAGCAGGAACTCCAGTGCATCCAGGCTCAGTCTCTCTTGCATAAGGAATAGGAAAACCCCTGATGTCAGAGGGAACATGTAAATTGTAGGCTTTTACACAATTCTTATATTTCTTCATTTATACCCCCAAATTAAAAGAATAGTGATACAGTCATATCTCTAAGAATAACAATCAACACACATGTGCTTTTTTATTATAGTGTGTGCATGTGTGTGTGTATGTGTACCTGAGTAAATGCACATGTATACCACTTAGATTTGGCTTTATTGTCTACCCAACAATATTTTTGGGAAAAGTAGATGTAACAAATATAAATTTCAGACTCCTCATATACCAATTACAAGAAGAGCAAAATTCTTCATAAAATCTGCTTTCTTTATTTTCCTGATATTTTGCTTTATTAAATTGTGAAAACAAGTGACATGTTTTTTTCATTTATCTACATATTATTTTTATGTCTCAGCTGTGTCTTTTGAAGGAAATATCAAAGTGAACACTATCAAATGTTTGTCCTTTTGCAATGAAGTGAGACATATTTTATGTAATTTTGGACATGATGAGAGGCAAAGGTCTACCAATGTCCTCTTTATTCATCAGTTTATATTGAATTTATTGATTTCTGTGCTGTGATTGTCACAATGCAACATTTCTTCTAGTCGCAAGATAACTATAATTTAATCTTTGATACTGTTCACCTTGGTCATTTAAAACATTGGGTACTAATAAATTTTATTTTACTACTTATTATTGGATTAGTGATATGTACCTTTGGAATGTTTGTATGTATGGGTTGGCATGCCTTTCTAATAAAATTTCACAAACTGAATGCATTTGTGTAAGCAGCTGCTACATGGTAAAACAAACCCCTAGTCTGTATGACTCCTCTTTCCTGTATGTGTCCCCAAGAGTGACCAGTATGTGACTTTTAACTGTAGAGATTGGTTTCAATATTTTGCATTTAACAAAAAGAAACCATTCTACATCAGCTGTTTCATATTTTGACCTTGAAAATGCCATATACTTCAATTTGTATTTACCCATGTTGTTACAGTATCTAAGTGAAGGAATTTCAAACAATTCTAGCATTTCTCCCTTGATGCACACATGCTGTGATTTGGATGTGATTTATGTTTCCAACCCAAGTTCCATGTGTTGGAATTTTTGCCCCAATGTGATGTTCTGGGTGGTGAAACCTTTGAGAAGTGGGTGCAATACAAGATGGTTGGTCATGGGGGGGTCACCTTGGAGGGGATTAATGATGGGTTATATTAGTTCCCTTGAGAACATGGGTTGTCCTACAGCAAGTGCAGCTGTTTCCACTGTCTCTTGCTCCCTGTTCTGCCCTGTGGTCTCTTCTGTACGTGATTCTACCTTTGTGATTCCATCTGCTGTGAGGCCCTCACCAGGACTGAGCAGATGCTGGCACTAGGCTCCTGAATCTCCAGAAATGTAGTTCAATAAATTTCCTTTCTTTATAAGGTGTTTGTGTAGGCATTTGGATAGGCAGCAGAAACTGATCAGTACAACACATTGGCGCATCATGATCATCACTGACATGTGGGATGTGCAACATGTTTTCATGATGCTTTCATGTGTGTCGTCACACACATGTATATATGGAACATATGTTTATGTATAAGTGTTTATAAATCACCCACATTTGTCTGATCATAGGATTTCTTTTTTTTTAGCTGAAATTTCTTTTAATTAAAAGACCAAGGGACAAGAAGCTTCTTAGTTACAGTACATTACATATGGCTCTCATATAGAGTAAAATAGACATCAGACAGTGAAATGTCCATACCAGCACCAAAGTCTCAGGCAAGCAGTGAAGCAAGATTTCTTTTACTGGTATTGAGATTGTAATTCATTTTTAAATGCGGTGTGTTCTTTGGTAGGCTTAATTTGGTGGAATAAAGTAGTGAAGTATTTCATGTAAAATTTAAGCATTATACTTCTCACCATATGCTATTTATACAGTCTTCCAAAAAAGTCTTTTAAAAATTTTAAAACTTGCCAATTAGCATTAAGCAAAACAGAAAGGGGTAAAATTTTTTTAAAAAATTGGAAAAAAATGGAAATTAATCTGAATGTCTTAGAAATCTTTGAACTCCAAAATGGCTACCACTTTGTCTCCTTATGGTCCCCTAAGCATATCTCTAAGGCATCATTCTGGAACAGTAGAATGCCCTAATTAAGTATGTAAATAATGTCAGCAGCAATTTTTAACTACTGCCACACTATGCTTTGCCTTTCACTATATTAAGAATGGAGGTTGAACAGTGATCAATGTAAATCAATTACTACATGAAGAAAAGCCCATGATGGAGAAAAAGGTATTAAATGATTTTGATCTGTCATACATAAAGGCCTAATATAGATGATGCCACAGAACTTCAGTGTTGATTTGGTTTGAAAACTTGTTCCTCTGTGCAGTGAGCTTTCTCCAATCAAGAGGTGTATTTCTAAAGTAGTTTGTACTTTTACCAGATGTCTGAACAGGTTTAGTGTCATAATCATGTAATTACATGTGGAATTGTTTCTCTTAAGCCACCCACATTGCTATAGTTCTAAACTCATCTTAGAGAGACTTAAAATAAATAAAGCATCTGAACTTTTCTCTCAGAGATGGGTTCAAAATAGGGAGACTTTCTACTCATAAAGCTGCCACTGTAATGAAGAGTTCATATCAATGATGTCCTTAGTCACAATCCTTTCACACAACAGTCTGGACAGGAGTGACACATTGTGCAGGAGAGCTGGCTCTCTCTGAGGATGAGGTTGATCGGTTGGAAATTTCTCTCTGTAGTTCCTCTACTTTTTTCTGAAGCTCTGCTCGTTTAGCAAGAAGTTCTTTGTATCTATTGTGAATAGGTTCCTGTGGTTTCATCCGTGGATTCCATCTTATGTAATATCCCATCCAGAGCTCTAGGTGGCGCATGCTGGCTACTGGATAAAGGACATGATTGCAATAACTCCCATAGAGAGGATTAGTGAAGTCTTCCAGCTGGCTATTTATGTAAGACCACAGTGACACAGTCCTCTTAGGAAGATTCTCTTTTCCTCTCTGCTGTTCACTGTTACAAAGGAATGTTCCAAACAAGCAGCTGTATAGGTGGTCCAAAATGGTAATGAGAAAATATTCATTGAATTCAAATGCAGTAGGAAACTGTCTTGTCATTTGCCACACACAGTCAATAAACTGAAGGAAAACAGGTGATCTTTCTGCATCTGCATGGTTCTTATCTCCACGGCCAACTCTTAGTTGAAATCTATGTCCAAAGCTTAGCCACTCTTTTTCCACAAGGACTTCAAATCCTCGTATTGTGCGATAGTATCCATCCAACATAAGCATGGCTAGGGAAGTTAGCTGAGCTGTGCGATCCCAACCATCACTGCAGTGTACCACCACAGATGTCTTCCCTGACTCTACCTTGTCAGCAATCCGAAGAGCCCCTGCAAGAATAAGCTTAATATGTTCTAGCCAGTGAGTAGATTCCAAGTTAGACAGCCAGTGAGTTTCCTCAATGTTGGGGTACACAATCTCTTTAAGTTTTCGTAATGATTCTCTCATGACATGAATATTATGGATATCCAGAAAAACTAGTTCTGCATTTTGATAAGCATCTTCACTTTCATAACCTCCACTTTTTGCCTTATTGGCAACAGCATTAACACTTGGTCGGGCATCAAATATAAAGATTTTGTGAGACTGGGCATTGGAATCCATGATGGCTTGAAGGTATTTTTCATCATCTTTGTTTCGCTTCCCACTCACTCCTACCATGGGCTGGCTACATCGAGTGATTGTGGCTTGACTTTCAGGATGAATCCAAGATAAAACTGGGATGCGGCCCCTTGACCTAAAGGATGCCACTCTCTTTAATTCTTCATCAGGAATATTTGATGGTACAACCAACAAGGCAGGGTATGTATCACAAAGTTCATATCGTTCATTTATCTTAGTTATTCTCCAGCTTTCATTTGGAATTCCCTGCCTTCTATACTCTAAAAGAGAATCGTATAGCTTCCACCCATTTTCTGGGAATACTTCTTTGTATTCAAAAGCAAAAAGAGGCAGGTTATTAGAGACAGGAAATGCATATTTCATTAGATTCTCAAATATGGATCTTCTTGTTCGCCCCTCAGGTTTATGAGCAAATCGTAAATTCCTAATATCCTTGCACACAGTTTCCAGTCCATAAGAATTTTCACCTCGACTAGAAGCACCACCAATTTTTTCTACTCTACGTATAACACCAAGAGAAGCATCTAAAACAAATGGGGGGTCCCGTTCCATGCTTTTGAAATATAACCTGTAATTCGTGACAGTCAGAGTTCCTCTTACAGCACCAGTAAATGGACAGATGTAAGTTACATCTTTGGCCATATCTTTAATATTTTCTCCTGGAAGCAAGGGTGGTTCTTCCATTTCTGCTAATTTGTTAGATTCCCTCAGGACCCTCAAATCAGGAGAAAAGTTCTCTGCAGAAGTTGAAATGGAATCTGATGACACAACAGAAGCTGATTTTGTATGCACTGAATTCTCTGAATGAGAAGTGGGGGCAATTATAATTTTTGAGATGTTTTATCTTCACTTCTGATGATCTTCAAATGTCAATGGCTCTTAACACATTAACTGGACAGGGAGTCCACGCTGGGCGGCCGAGCCGCTGCGGGCTGGGAGCCCAGGCTCTCGCAGCTCGAGCTCTTCTCCATGGCACGGCAGGGGCAACGGGAGCAAAAGGCTGAAGGGACCTCCGCGACTGCCAGGCAGGGAGCTTGGAGGGCGGAGTGCACCAGGCAGGGGCCGCGGTCAAGCCAGCGCCGGCCCGGGAGTAAGACCGGAAGCGGCCATGTTCCCCCAGACTGCACCGCGCCGGGGGTCTGCGGCCAGGGGAGGACCCCCGCGGCGCCCCTCCGACGCCGAGTCTTAAGCGCTGCCCTCCCTGCGTACCTCTGCCTGATCATAGGATTTCATCTAATTGTCTTTAGCATGTATTACCAGAGTTCACCAAATATTTCTATGAATCTCAATCCATTAGATGCTCCTACATTTTTTTTAATTCTTGAAGAAGAAAATGCTTTTATTAATCTGATCATTAAAAACCCCCACAATCTTATTAGAAGTAAACCTGGATAAATAATGCTGTTTTGAAATTTACATTTTTCACATTCAATTGAAAGGAAAATGTTACATGTGAGGACTTTTCTTGGTGTAATGAATTAATTTCTATGGGACTTTAAAAATAGTAAATAGCAATTAGCACATGTTCTTATACTGTGCTACAACAGAGTTAGAATCTCTGATGATCAGAGGCAGCAGGATAAGGTCTGATTTGTTAAACATCAAGAACTACATTTCTAAAGAGACTGCTACCTCAGTGCACAATTTTCATTGATGTGGCCAGTGTTGGCCGTGGGCGCCACAAAATCAGCAAATTTCTCCTGAACTAACAGATACTCATTGATCAACTGAGTTTTCTTCCAAATTCTTCATGCTTTCCAAGAAGAATCAAATACACTGGTCTTCTCTCCCCAGAGAGGCAATTGTGAAATGCAGTTGTTGTAAACCTTCTAACTCAAAATTAAATGTAGGCAATGAATTATTATTAGATACATCCCTAAAGTCATTTTGGCATAGAAAACACCAAGCTTCTACATAACTCTGAATGTAGCTTTCCATTGTTGAATACAACCTGATAATTGAAGTATTTGGCATGTATTTTAGCAATTCTTGTCTGTGTGCTACACTTATCCTTTATACGGGTTAAAGCTCTGTTCTCAAAGAATTTCTACATATCAAGCCTTTTTGAAGAAGTTTGTTTTCACTGAACTGAAGATTTGCTTTGCTTATGTGTCCATGAAGACTAATTTGAGCCTGCACATACATACATGGCATGCACACATATGTGTAGGTGAGCTTGTTAACCCCTAGAATAAAACCACACCTGAGGGGACAAGTGTGAGGTGCAGTTTGGTCTTCCTAGACACCCTCCTCTGTGTCGACGAGGCAGGTAGACTGTGCTGCAGAAGCCACGAGGCTGTGGAAGATCCTCATCTGTTAACTCCCATTGCTTGTCTCCCCAGATGGCCTCTACCATCTGTCAGAAATGAGATGTGCTTTTTGGCACATCTAAGGCTTTTTGCAATGCTCTGGGTAACTCCTCCTCTGCACTGGTGTTCAATCTTTTCTGTTCAATCAAGTGACCATCCAGAATTTTAAAAATACCTCCTTTTCTAGCTTGTGTTCCTTGCATACTCCTTGAAGGACACATGCACAACTTTACTCCATCTTCTCTCCACTTCCTGAATGCTATGACTTCATCTTCATGCACAGCTGTAAAAGGAACCCTCCACATGTGGCCCTGTGGTTCTTTTAGCATTACAACCATTTGGTCCAGTGATATGTACAGGCACACATTATCTACCAGGTAATTGGGCATGTCTTATTTGTTACCTACCCCACTCTCAGATGGTGTAGAGATTGTCACAGCCTCATCCAAGTGAGAAACTGTTCAGCCTATTTCCTGAAAATATTAACATCCTGCTGTTAACCTCTTCTAATGTGTCTGCAGACATCTTTAACTTCTTCATTGTTTAAGAAAATAAAATGTCTGGAAGGCCCTGGGAATCCCTGCTGTGTGGAGGGTGGAGCATGGTGCTGGCTGTGCCCCAGAACCCCCTTGGGTTTCATGAGCTCTGCAACAAGCCTTTTTAGATCTCATTTCCTACATTGTATAATCCTATGTGTGGTTGGTGAAGATTTCACTTCTAATTTCTGTTTCTTTATTTCTTCTTCTTTTTTTATTGAGTATGAGACCTTTCTTTACATTACCTGGATTCCTCTCTATCCAGGCTCTGTAATACAACCTGCCCAAATCTTATCAGAATTGTGTTGATTGTATGTTTATGCATAATTGTCAAGTATTTAATCGCTCATTTCACACAGCTTTCTAGGGAAAGGCAAGGGTATTTCAGCTGGTTGCATGTGGGATTGGCCTGGGAATGGTGGAGATGAGTAGGGTAGGTTGACCTCATCCTTGTGCACAGAATCCTGTAATGTCACTTTGGTTTTGGCTTTTATTTTTATTTATTTGTTTGTTTTTGCTGTGATGGAGATTGAGCATGAGGCCTAGTGCATGTGAAGCAAGTTTTCTACCACTTAGTTACATCCCGACCTCCTTTATAAAACACTGTGTTTGCAGCATGGTCTCACTAAGTTTCTCTGGCTGGCTTAAAACTTGCAATCCTCCTGTCCCAGACTCCTGAATAGCTGGGATGACAGGTATTAACATCCTTGTCTGGATGCCTAATCACATTAATCTTTATTAAATGTTGTTTGAAGCAAATAAAATGAACTTGGTCCTAATTGACTGCATTGTCAATTATTGAATTGTTGAATCAATTGTTGAATCACTATTTTACTAAACTGTTCACTCAAAGAAACAGTTTCCAGCATAAACAGAGCGACGAAATGTGTCTTGACATTGTTCAACATTGAGTTTCCTGTGTGTGCTCATGTCTCATGGGTGGGTGCATGTGCTGTTTTTGATACATCCTGTTCTCTCCTGGATGTTTAGGCTAATTGAAAGACTTCAGTGACATGTATTGTGTCAAATTTGGGGGAAGAATTCAGGTTTGGTTACTGAAGAGAGAAACAAGATGGAAACCAAAGAATAGTAAGAAATTTAGACATCAATGAAAGAAGATATGCTCCAAAGTGTCCAGATCCTGGGCTGGGATTGTGGCTCAGTGATAGAACACTCCCCTAGGATGGGCAGGACCCAGGTTCAATCCTCAGAACCACATAAAAATAAAAGGCATTGTGTTGTGTCCATCCACACCTAAAAAAAAGAAAAAGTGCCCAGATCCTCAAGCTACATCAAGAGACCACTACAGGAGATCTAAAAACATCCCAAGTAAATAACTCTCCACCATGAATGCTGGTTGCCCACATTCTGGGTTATACATGTATTTAAGTGCACCTTGCCCTTGAGCCCATGTTAGAGGGCACTGTAGACTTGTCGCACTACAACAAACAGGCCTCAGACACGAGGACTTGGAGAGCTCCCTGCCTCATCCTCAGGTTGTGCTTGTGGACCTGTGAACCCTCCTGGGTGCTGCTGTGTGACCATGTACAAGTCACAAGAAAGAGAAGGGGTTTGGGTGCCTGTGCCATGAAGCTGTAGGTTTCAAAGATACAGAAGCATGTAGCCCATCCCAGGTGGAGCAGGTGGAGAGATGACCCCAGGAGACTGAAGTCAGGAGACCCTGAAGGCCAGATGTGGAACTGGGAATCTTCTAGAGGGAAGAGTCTCTGCATCTCACTCAGGGATAGGAGACAACATGCATAAGCCTGTTTCTCACGTCTATGACAAATCCCCAGAAGCTCAGTTCCCTGAAGAGAGAAGAGTTTGTCTCATGGTTTTGGAAGATCACAAGTATGGCACCAACAGCAGCTCAGTTCCTGTGAGTCTCCTGGGCTATGTCACATGATGCTGGATGATATTAGGGGAAGAATGTGTGTGAGAGGAAGGTGATGTGGTTAGGCGTGTTCTAAATGTATATTAAGCCCATTGGGTTTATAGTACTATTTAGGTTGGTAATATCTTTGTTGATTTTATCTTTGGATGACCTATCTATTGGTGATAAAAGTGTGTTAACATCACTAGGTATTATTTTATTGCAGTCTATCTGGAATTTAAAGTCAAGAATTATTTTATTTAATGTTTCCTGACATTTGGAGCATGTGTATTTACTACTGTTATTTCTTCTGGTTGAATTGTTCCCTTTAGCAGAATGTACTGTCCTTTTGTGGTTAATTTTTGCTTGAAATCTCCTTTGGTTTCATCTGAGAATAGCTAGCTCCTCCTGATTGTTTTCAGATCCCATTTGTGTGATATGTAAATGTCCTTTTACAAACTTCAGCCTGTGGGCATCTTTGCCTCTGTGATCAACCTCTTGCAAACAGCATCCAGTTGGACCTTGTCTTTTGATTTATTCTGCTAATCTATGTCTTTTAATTGGGGCGTAAAAACCATTTATTTTCAGAGTTAGTGTGAATATAAGTTTGTAGTTTCCTGATATTTTTGTTTATTTGCCATATTTAATATGGTTTTGGTTTTCATTTACTTGGTTACTCTTTTAGTGGGCCTCATCCACTTGGGACCTCTGGGTTTGTCTGGATATCTCTGTGGGCAGCATATCTTGCATATTCTTCATGTTCTAGCTTGGTGGTCATCATTTCTTTCAGTTTAGCTTTATCATGAAATGTTTTTAATTCCCCACTGATTTTGAAACACAGATTTTGTGGTTTTTTTTTTTTTTGATATACCAATCTTCCTCTAAAAATTTTTTTGAGCTTAGAATATCTCATTCTAGTCTTTCCTTGATATTGGTGTCTTAATTTAATATTTTATATTAATATTTAATATTCTGTCTTAATTTTCATTGTTGATTATGATGTGTCTTGGAGTGTCTCTTTTGGCCTTTATCTATTGTGGTCATTTGTGATTTTTGC